CCCCCCCCGCAAAACCAACCAAAACACCTTCTGCTCATGGCCCCCAAACCACATCACTTAGTGCCCCTTTCTGAGCCTCAAAACCCAGCTGCTGAGCCTCAAGCTCCCAAAATGCCAAACTCAACCCCTGCTCCTGAGCCACACGACTCCCTCTCTTTCTGAGCCCCAAAACCAGCCACACAAGATTGTTTGCCAGCCCCGGGAGCACAAGATCTGGTCTTCGTGTTGGGCCCCAAAGCAGCTCACCCTCTCTGCTTCCCCACTCCCTCTGCATCCTCCCTGGGCCATGCCAAAGGGCGGGGGGACCACAGCTACCCCACAGCCCGGCACCCCTAGGGCCCCACGGCCAGGTTCGGGGAGCGCTGGGTAACTGCGATGGGACCGTCCCCGCGTCTCTGCGGGGCGGCACCGACACGGCCCGGGCACCGCTTTCTTATCGCTGTTTCGGGCTTCGTTTCTCCGGCAATGCCAGCACCACACCGCAAACCTCCCAGGACGTTGGGAGCCCACGAGGAGCCGGGACCACCCACCCCCCTCCGACCCTAGTCTTCCCCCTCAGGGCCCCTATTCCCCCAGCTCCACTCAGGGTCGACACGACCAGTCAGAGCGCCGCACTCGCACTGTGATGGCCCACCCTCCCTCTCTTCCGCCGGGGGGCAGTTACCATGGTCAAGTCGCACCGGCGCGGGGCCGTGCCGACGGGGCTGTACGGTCCGGCTTGACGAGGAGCAATTCACACAAATCGGGCTTTTTCTCCTTAAAAAATGTATACATTTGTGTGCGACAGCACAGAATAAACCCGTATCCGCCTCCTTCTCCTCTTACCTTCCGTCCGTTCTCGGCTAACTCCCTGGGGCTGCCCGGCCCCGGCTCGCCTCCTGCACCCCGGCAGCCTGTCGCAGCGGCCGGTTTGAAGCTTTCCGCCTCACCGCCCCTGGGCGGCCAGAGGGCAGGAGATACTCCTGCCCCCGCCGAAGGGGCTCGCTAGCTTCCCCAGTGGTCTCGGCCCTCCCCTGCCGCCAAGGATGGCGCCCGGCAACCGCCCGTGCGGGGCCCGCGCTGCAGAACGACGCTTGGGCCGCGGCGAGGCAGGCAACAGCAGGGAGCGCGCGGCGCAGAGGAGCCGAGCGCACGGGAGGCGGGGCCGGGGCCTAAGAGGGCGGGAGGCGGGGTCGGGGAGGGCGGGAGGCGGGACCTGGGAGGGCGGGGCCTGAGAGGGCGTGTCTGCGCGATCAAACGCAGGTGCTGCACTGTGGGGCGGGGGGTGCGCATGCGCACTACAGCAGTGTTGCCGTAATCTCGGGTGATAGACGTTGTCAACTGACATTTCCATTCAGTAATAAGAGGACTCCTTATGGGCAGCAGTTCCTTATTACAGTATCTCTACCGTTTCTCAAGGTGCTCTGGCTCAGAGTTATATTCCTATATGGGCAAGAGAATCCCTATTGTTGTAGGAGAGCTTTACTGGCAGCATGCATCAGCAATTGTCCATCTCATTCTAGAAATTACCACAAACCTACAATTCAAATGCAAGAACCAGAGCTGGTTCCAGGGACCAAAAAACATTTCCCTGTCAGCACAAGCCTGGGCAGAGCCATGATGAGAAGGCTGCACAAGCCATAAGTCAGCTTTTGAGGCTTATGCTCATCACACAAAGACTCAGTCCGTGACAAAGACTCCATGACATGGTTTCGCTGGACAAACCCATTTCAGTCTTGTCCAGGGAGACAGGGGTGTTACACGAACCCTTGGGGAACCAACTGGCTCTGCCAGCAAGGCCAAGGTGCCCCCTGATCCTGAGCACAGCCTCTCACAGATGCCAGCCCCTGGGCAGGGCCTGAGGGCAGCAAAGGTTCGAGTATCGGTGTCAGCCATGGGGAACCACCTCGGGAGGTCTGGGGCCTGAAGCAGGATTTGGGGATGTCTGGAAGCAGGCACTGGGGACCCTGGATCAGGGTCTAGGGTGTTTCAAAGCCTTTGGGCAGGTCTTTGGGTACACTTCCCCCCCCCGCCGAAGGGGCTCGCTAGCTTCCCCAGTGGTCTCGGCCCTCCCCTGCCGCCAAGGATGGCGCCCGGCAACCGCCCGTGCGGGGCCCGCGCTGCAGAACGACGCTTGGGCCGCGGCGAGGCAGGCAACAGCAGGGAGCGCGCGGCGCAGAGGAGCCGAGCGCACGGGAGGCGGGGCCGGGGCCTAAGAGGGCGGGAGGCGGGGTCGGGGAGGGCGGGAGGCGGGACCTGGGAGGGCGGGGCCTGAGAGGGCGTGTCTGCGCGATCAAACGCAGGTGCTGCACTGTGGGGCGGGGGGTGCGCATGCGCACTACAGCAGTGTTGCCGTAATCTCGGGTGATAGACGTTGTCAACTGACATTTCCATTCAGTAATAAGAGGACTCCTTATGGGCAGCAGTTCCTTATTACAGTATCTCTACCGTTTCTCAAGGTGCTCTGGCTCAGAGTTATATTCCTATATGGGCAAGAGAATCCCTATTGTTGTAGGAGAGCTTTACTGGCAGCATGCATCAGCAATTGTCCATCTCATTCTAGAAATTACCACAAACCTACAATTCAAATGCAAGAACCAGAGCTGGTTCCAGGGACCAAAAAACATTTCCCTGTCAGCACAAGCCTGGGCAGAGCCATGATGAGAAGGCTGAAAAAGCCATAAGTCAGCTTTTGAGGCTTATGCTCATCACACAAAGACTCAGTCCGTGACAAAGACTCCATGACATGGTTTCGCTGGACAAACCCATTTCAGTCTTGTCCAGGGAGACAGGGGTGTTACACGAACCCTTGGGGAACCAACTGGCTCTGCCAGCAAGGCCAAGGTGCCCCCTGATCCTGAGCACAGCCTCTCACAGATGCCAGCCCCTGGGCAGGGCCTGAGGGCAGCAAAGGTTCGAGTATCGGTGTCAGCCATGGGGAACCACCTCGGGAGGTCTGGGGCCTGAAGCAGGATTTGGGGATGTCTGGAAGCAGGCACTGGGGACCCTGGATCAGGGTCTAGGGTGTTTCAAAGCCTTTGGGCAGGTCTTTGGGTACACTTGGGCAGGGGCTGGGGCATTTTGGGGCAGCGTTTGCTGGCTCTGGGGCAGGGTTTGGGGTAGCTAGTGGCCATGGAGACACTGTAGAGCCACAGCAACTGGCAAGGAGAACCCCAGTGCAGTGCAAGGGTGGCAACAGCATCTGCGAAGGCTTTGCCATATACCCAAGCTGAACCAAAAGATGCTGCTGTTAAATGAGAGTAGTACGCCATTGAGGACTGGCGTGTGCTTCTTCCATGAGGGTGGGGCTGGAGTGCTCTGGGAGGTCCCTTCAGGTGCTACATGGCTACAGGGAGGGCCCCCTGGGCAGGGAGCACTTCATGAGGTCCACACCTCCACCCTGTGTTGTGTTACCTATTGTGCTTCCTCCCCCCAGGGCCATCCCCACACCCAGGAAGAACCCCCCCGGGAGCCGGACCCCTCCCTGTTCATGCTGCCTGCAGTCACAAGAGCACCCAGCGCCTGTGGGGACAAACTGCTTTTTACTTAGATGTGAGTTACAAAGGCCAATTTTACCAGGAGAGAAATAAGACATGCTTTGTACTTGTAGCTGCTCCCATGGTAAATACAGTGGTGTAATAGAGCAAGCAAAGGTAAACCACCAGTAAATTACAAAATACATATAATTAAGTGCTGAGATTGGGTCTTTTAATAAAGCTTTTCCTTTAAAAAAAAAAATCAACTCCACAGTTCCATACTGTTGCTCAGCTAAAAGAAGTAGATTCCCATTTTTAAGATTATTTTCAAAGAACTCATTTTTTGTTTTTTGTTTTTTTCAATTTTTGCCAAAACCCTGTTTTTTTCAATAGGTGTAGGCAACAAGGGAATTACTCTAAATCACATAGTAAGGATGTGAGTAGCCTGTGGGTACTACACAGGCCTCATTACACCTCATTACCTTGTCCCAAATTTATTTGGCAGACATTGAAAAGTATTAAAAGTATTCATAAAAAAAAAAAAAGGAAAAAAAGGGGGAAGGGGATGATCAAGCCCTGTGGCTCAAGAGCTTGCAGAGTACAACCGCATTTTCCTAACAATCCTTTTATAATGCCATAATGCCATTACTCTCATCATCCCTAAATGAAAGGAATTAATGTTTTAGGTCCTTCTACAATACAGAAAATTCAGAGGCAAACAAAACAAAACAAAACAAAACAAAACAAAAAACCAGAAACACACACAAAAAACAAGGGCAAGACCTTTATCCCATTTAAGACCTTTTCATCAGATTTCAGTGGAAATTCAGTTTTGGGGTGTTTCTGTTTCAGAACATCTAGACCACAAAGATCTTTCTTGGGTTTGGTAAGTAGTTTTTGTTACTGGGTTGGACTACACATGCACCAACATTAAAATATATTTGATTACACTCTAGACACCAGCAGGTTGAAATAAATACTTGCTTCCAAAAAGGACTGTGGAAAAGACATCCTTAGGGATGAAGCCATTTCAAATACTACAAGTGTCTTTGATAAGAAAAAAGATCTAAGCCGAAATAACTAGCTCTGTGTAGATTAGAGATAAAGCAGTTTAATTAAACTCAGTAATCTGAATGACCACCACCAGTGACCTATGAATAACTTGAAATTTACAATTAAGAGGTATGCCTTTTTAAAAAAATATGAATGTTAATAAAAAACTGGGGGGAGAGCTGGAGCAACCAGGTGTTTAAAAAGGTGTTTGGGTTTTGTTTTGTTTTTTTTTTTTTAGAGTCTCAACATTTTTATTGTATGTAGCAGAACAGCCCACACCCACCACCATGGTGAAAAAAAATGAAGTAGTAAAAGAAACAGGAACTTGAGTATAGCTAGAAAAATTTAACTTTTTAAAAGCTAACCTATTTAAGATAGTCTTCTTTCTTTGACAAGTCTGCAGATAGAGGCTAAGGTTTATTGCATCAGATACAGATATCTAGAACATTGCTCTAAACTGGAAAAAAAAAGTTATTTTTACATTTCAAATGCTTTGCAAGCAACATTAAAAGTTAACATGTCTCGAGATTTTTTTAAGTTTTCTTCTCCTACTCCAAATTCTTTTCATCTGTAGCGGTAGTAAATACATTCCACGGTCCCTCTATTTTAAGGGGCCATTTGTATATTATTAGTTTGATAAACAGAAAAAAAATCAAGAAAAATGAGACACTAAAGCTATGCTATGTGGCTATACTACATAATCACTAATAGTTCAGAAGCCATTTATGACCTTTATTGATTCCCCAGACTGTAGCAGTTCTATCTTGGGAACTGGCTTGCAACAAACATGTAACCCAGACATTTTTTTATTTCAGTCACTGCTGTTAGAGAATAATTGGAGTCCAAATACAATCTGCAACCTTTTTTTGCCTTCATGAAGAGGCAAACCAATCGCTGCACAGTGCCAGCTTTCTCTTTGCACAGGCAACAAAAATTCAAGCCTCATGAAGCACACAGTTAGGCAAATAAAGCATCCAGATGCCCTAAATATACTCTTAACATTTTTTAATCCCCAGCGCCATGTAAAAACACATTCTAAATTAACTGCTTCTCAGGGGACCTTCCAAGTTGAAGATGAGGATCATAAATAAAAAGAAACCAACTCCCTGCAGACTCAATCAGGGTTGTCATTTCACAAGAGGTTAGGTCCTCCTTCATAATACATTTGATATATTTTAGCACAGCATGGGCATATACTGATATGTAGCTATATCATTACAAGTTCTATGTGCAGGTTTCTACTCATCTCCCTTTTCACACAGTTGCTGGCAAAGGCTGGTTACTTCCCATAAAATTTCTTATTCAGTAGAAAGATCAGAAGGTTGACATTCACTTTTGCTCTGTCGAACAACTTCAAGACCGCAACGCCTTCATACTGCAGCTGCAAAAGATCCTGCCAAAAGAGAATACCTTTATGAGCCCAGAATCCTCAAGAGCTTACAGAAAATATACAAGACTCTGTGGTACAGTAGGTTTTTGAGGACTATCAATCAAAAAGTACATGGCATAAGACAGAAAAATGAGAGATTCGCTAAAGATCTGCTTGTACTGCATGAAAAATAAAGTTGCTCCAAGGCATTTAAGATCTTGTTGGGTTTTTTATTCTGTGTTTATTTAAAAAAAAAATTTACAAAAGAGGAA